CGGCGGGGCGCGGGGGAGGGGCCGTGAGGAAGCTGTCATGCAGGACCCTACCCCAGAACGCGGCGGTAGCCCCCGCCCCGCTGAGGAGAGGCAGGGGGCGGCGGCGGCGGCGCCGGCGGCGGCGACGACGACGACGAGCGGCGAGGCCTCCTGGCTGCAGAGGGTCTTTGAGGAAGTGCGGGGCTCCTCCCAGCTGAGCGTGGCCCCCGCGGAGCCGCCCCCCGTCACGGTGGTGGCGGTGGAGCGCTACCTGGCCGAGTCGCCGTCGCCTTTGCCGCCGCCGCCGCCGCCCGCCCCTCGGTACTGGTACGACGTGACCCTGGCGGACGGCGCGTGCCAGGAGCGGTGCTACCTGGCGCCGCGCCTCAACGGCCTGGTGCAGCGCGCGCACCTGCGCCCCGGCGCGCGCCTGCGCCTCACCCGCTGCTCTTACCTGTACGACGAGAAGCGCCTCAACTACGGGTTCCTCTGCCTGGAGGAGCTGGAGAGGGTCGGGGGAGCCGGGCCCCCCGTCTCCCCTCCCCGCCACCGCCCGCCGCCCCTCCGCGGGAGCCGCCCCTCCGCGGGAAGAAGAAGCACTACCTGCCGCTGTGGAACAACGAGGATCCCTACGGAGACATGTGGGTGGCGGACAAGCCCCAGGCGCCGGTGGACGTCGACGGTAAGCGGAGAGGAGGAGGAGGAGGCTTGAGGGGGGGCGGAAACTGGCCCGGAGGCAGCCGGGCGCCCTGGGGAGGCCTGAGCCGGTGAAGGAGCCCGCAAAGATGAGGGGGTGCGGGGGCTGGCGTCGCTTGTGCGGCTGGGCACGGCTCCCCGCTCAGAAGCGACCCTCCGGTCGCATTGGGCGCCGACACCGCCGCCCCGCGTGTATCGCGATTGACGCGTTCGTGTTACTTTGGGAGGGTTCTTTTTACGAAGCGCTGGCTGAAAATGGGTGGCTGTGGTGCTTGTACCCACCCTTCTGAGATGCCAAAAACATCCGCTCCGATAGCAGTCTCTTGGCTAGTCTGTGGGACCGGGTGCTTCCGCCAAGCAGCTGCCGCCCAAAGCGCGGTCAGCGTCGAGGGGCTCAGGCCAGTCCGCGAAGCTTGAGCGGGAAGGAGGTGGAAGCCCCTTGCAGGCTGATGCTTATGTCTTTCGTAGTAGCTCTTCTGCTCCTCCTGACAACACTTCTGTGTCATTTTAAACGCGTCATCACTGTCCCTTTCAATTGAAAAAAAAAAAAAGAGAAACCAAAACTATGCTGCGCGCAGATAGCTCAGAACAGGACTTCACGGTGAGTAGTTATCAGCAAATGAGCCTTTTTAGATGTTAGAAACGTTAAGGAGATACATACGACGTGCTGGTCTGTGCATTTCATTCCCGCAAACTTAAATGTTCAATTGTGAACACTCTTTTTTCATCTTTTTTTCTTTTTTTTTTTCCTTTAACCTAAGTCTCCAAGCTGACTTCTCTTGGTCAGCTGGAAATGACGTGGAGAAGCAGAGTTCACTTCCATCCACTTCTTGTGAGAGTCCTGCACAAATCTAGACTAAGGTACTACGGGAAACCAGAGAAAAAAATGGATATGCCTTATCAGGTAAAGAGGGATAAATACATAGGTTAACACTTGAACAAATAGCGGTAGGATATTTGGAAATCATTATTCCCATGTAAGCACATAAAGTTAAGATTGATGTTGTAGCTACTTTATATTAAAAATGCCACCTTTACAAAAATGATGAGCCCTTTAGAGTAGAAAATGGTGAATTTAGTGATCATATGTACAAACTTTGGTGGATGTGTTTCAGTTACTATAGTTCAGTTGAGCTTTTCGTGAAGGAAAAAAAATTGGAGTTTTTTAGTAGTTTAACAGCCTAAATGTTTCTGGTCTCTATCCTTTGGAAGTTGGAGTTAGTCTGTCTTGTCCAAAAAAAAAAAGGCAAATAAATTCTAACAATTTGTATCCCCTAATTCTCTCACCTGGTGACTTCCAGATAGATTGTTTTACTGTAAATTCTTAATGATTTTCCTAATATGTTTTATTCGTGATGTTTTTGTGTTGAGCGTCTTGGAAATGGAGACAGGAAGTGTGGTGGGTTGGTCCCAGCCAGCAGCTAAGCACTCATCAGCTGGTTGTTTGCTCTCCCCTGCCCCCTCCAGGGGAACGGGGGAGAGAATTGGAAAAGCAAAAGTGAGGAAAAACCCATGGGTTGAGATAAAGACAGTTTAAGACGGTGAAGGGCAAAAGGAAAGGGTGGGGCCAGGCAGGGGGGTTGGAGGGCGGAAGGCAAGCAAGTGATGCAAAGGCAATTACTCACCACCTCTCACCAGCAGACCAATGCCCAGCCAGTCTCTGAACAATGGGTACTTTGGGAAGACTAGGAGCCCATTTTATATCTGAGCATGATGTTACATGCCATGGAATATCCCCTAGGTCAATTCAGGTCAGCTATCTCCGCTGCGTCCCCTCCCAGCCTCTTGCCCATCCCTAGCTTACTCACTGGGGTGGCAGAGTGAGAAACAGAGAAAGACCTTGATACCATGCAAGAACTATTCAGCAACAGCTAAACATTGGCATGTTATCAATGCTATTTTAGTCACAGATCTAAATCACGGCACTGTGCAGGCTGGTACAAAGAAAATAAACTCTATCCCAGCCAGACCCCATGCAGGAGAGAAACACTTTATAAAGAGCTCCAATAACTCATATGAATTCTTCCATGGGGGGAGAGAGAGGTATGAAGTGTCTTAATGAAGGGCTGTGGTGGTCTCTTATTCCAAGTTTCCATTCCCTTTGCACATGAAGATAAATCTGGGTCTTTGTATTGGAGCTGCTTCTCAGCAGACAATCTAGACGATACTCCTAACTTTTCATGGCAACTCCTCGGTCACATTTCCTGGCATTAGGTGTAGAAACAATACCCATAACTGGTTTAGCTCAAGAAGTTAGGAGACAGATTTTACATGCTTTTTGCTTTATGCATTCCTTCTTTAGATAGCGTTGTGTGTTGAATTATTGTTATTAGATAAAAACCAATGGGCTAACAAAAGATTCTATGATGTAATGGTTTACTTCCAAGGATGCACAGTTCATGCTAATTAGGAGTATTAGAATGAACTAAAAACTGTTGATTTGTATAATCTCTGTATTGAACTTGGAATAAGGAAAAGAGGATTTTAGAAGCAGCAAGGGGGCAAAAGCACATAAGGTGTTAGATATGTTCAAGAATGGTGATATATTAAAGAGAGTGAATGGTAGTATGAACAAAAGCAGATGATATTTCAGGCTGACAGATGAATGGATAAAATGAAGCATTTTGATAGAGCTGAGATTTTTTTTCAGTGGATTGCTACCTTTTAAGACCATTATAAGAGTGTTTAAAAATCTTTTTCACTGCTCAGTGATGTGCTTAGTTATGGATTCAATGTTTGCCCAGTTTAAAAAAAAAATCTGGTGGAAATCTTTGTTGTCAGAAAAACTTCGATGAAAAGATAGTGGTTTGCAATGCAGATGGATTTCTGCTTTTTTTTTTTTGCCTAAAAATTAGACTTGTATCATCTTTTGATCAAGAATGTTTAGCAAATGGTCCTGTAACTTCTCAACTTCCAAAATATGTTTTTTCTTCATGGATATTTTGAAATGTTATTCTAAATACAGCATTCTCTGATAAAGAAGAATCTTTTCAGTATTGTTTCTTGTGCATGGTATTTCCTCAACCTCCTCCAAAAACCATAGAGTGGAACTGGTGTCACCTACCATTACTGAGCACTGGAAAAATAAGAGTTTGGGCTGGAATAGTTGTGGAAGAATTATTTTGTGGAAATCAGGGATTTCTTCAACGATAGTATTCAATACAAGTTTTGGAACATCCTCTGTATCCATTTGTAATCATCAGATAAATTGTTCGTGAGTCAAGTAGCTGATGCATTATCCAAAATAAATACATACTAGAATGATGATAAATAAAAGATGAATGTATTTTGTCTCTTTCTTTAGGCTTACTTTGAAGTTGCTGATGGTTCAGGCATGATGTCCATGGTTTTGTGGAATTCATTATGTCCTGAATGGTATAACAGTGTGAAGGTTGGCACGGTACTGCTCCTTGAACAGTATGCTATCAAAACCAGTTATCCATTTAAAACACTGCCAACCCCAGGGGATTCACAGATGAAGAGATTTGCTACAATTGGTTAAGTATTGCAGAAACCTGTTTTGATTCAATGAAATACAGCTGTAAAGAGGTAGCTCTTCATAGAAATAAAATAGAAGGTGAACCATTGCTGAGACTAATTAATAGGATATATATCCTTAAATATTAACTCTGAAAGGTGTCTTAGCATCCAGTTTCTTATTGTTCCCTGTTTATATTTGGATCATGTCTACAAAGTTTGCCACAATTAGTTAAAACCTTTATTTAAAAGATAAATAAATAAAAATCTAATCCTGTTTTCACGTATTTGGGTCATAAAGACGGGCTTCTGGCACTGTATTTTAATCTGATTCTACTTCCTATTTAATAATACAGATATCATTTGTGCACTGCTCACACCTTCTTCCAGGTCATTGAAGCACATTGTCACCTGATCTGACTTTAGATTTTAGTGCATGTGGTCAAGGCCCAGAGTATCTGCAAAGGTCCACTGAATAAAAAGTTACATTGATGACTGCTGGCTGTGCTGAAACAGCAGCACCATGGGAGTGCACAGATGAAGAATATTCCTTGGCTATAGGAAAGTATTTTCTTACTTGCAGTTGTTTAGTATGACAGATATTCAAAGGAGCTACGCTACAGAAATACAAGTGCTGCAATATAACAATAATAGCCTTTTCAAACTGGATTTGGTCAACGTTTTTTTTTTTTTCTCTCCTACTTCACTGAACACGAGTTCTTTCCCCTTTTGTGCTTTTATACTCAGAATAAAATGACAGCAAACATTCAGAAAATTCAAATAACTTCCCTGAAACAAGCAAATATGTGTGTTAGTGAAGGATGTTAATAATATATTATTAACGATGACAGTTTCCTATTGCGGTTGCTACAGTGCACAAAAATAAGTAATATTTTCACTGCTAGAAGCGGTGTATTCTCTGCCTAATGTATCTTTGCCTTAAAACCAGATATTAATGTCTGAAGTGTTTGTGATGAGTTGGCAGGAGAGAGACATATTTAGCCAGGAATAGAAGTTTGTGAGGAAAGCTGATGATTACAAGCCAGCCCTGAAAACAATTACAATTGCCACAAAACCTTTCTGTGGGAAAAGAACAGAATAAAATACACCTTCTGTGGTGACTTTCGCTATGGGCAAATATCACTTCATTTTAACGGCTTCACTCATACTATACTAGTGATTTCTGCAAGCATTATTGGGGTGGAAATGTTAACGAAGAGATCAAAATTGAAAAATAGGCCAATGGGCTGTAAATGGTAATAGGTGTGTAATGGAAGAATTACAAGTCAGTCTATAGTTAAGTGCCATGATGTATTTTCAGACCACGGATAAACTGTAGAAATTACTGATCTTCGGTTCATATCAACGTATGTACAGTATGTTATTTCTTTTCTCAGCACAAAGCTCAGAATTTTGTCTTAATATAAACTTAAAAAGCACATAATACCATGCACTGATGGATCTTATGCCCATATATCCTGTAAGAAGAGAGTCTAATGAGAACAGAATATCCAGAAAAATTTCTAGAGCAGTTATAGAATGGATTTTATGCAACTTCTGGTGCATGGGGTTTTTTTTGTTCGGATGAAGTGAAATTTAATTCCTCACTAATTACTCTGTTAATATGAATATCTCTGTGTGTGCCCAATATGGGGCAACATTTCAGGGTTTTTTAAGCATGCACAACGAGTGCTCCAAAAGTTCTTCAGCTAGCTAGTTAAATCAGTCAATTACACTGAACTGCTTACATAACAATTACTTTTTTCATCATCTATTTCCAATTTGTAATTCCATCAGATCCCAACTTTCCAGTGTTTCCTTACAACCCTTCACCCGTAAATGTTGTAAAATGTATCTGGAGGGTTAACAAGGTCACAAGGGAAAGGGCTTTCCAGATTAAGAGTTCTTGCAGGACAATATGCTTCTGGCATATTCCTAGATTCCTGAGAAAGGAGTTCTGCGTTGCTTGCTTCTGTTCACAGTTGCAACATTGTATAACATGCTGAGAGGTGCTGTTTCAGGACCTAAAACCTTTGGAGCTTAAATAGTTAGTACCAACACCTTGAATTCCACTGCTAGGCAATGCGTGCATTTCACAGATCACTGAATTTATGTGGTACTGATGAAAACTGCTGTTTCTAATAGCCTGGACTGACCTTAGCTTCTGAATCGTCCCAGGGTATAGTCCTGAGTTGAGTATGAGACTTTCATCTAATCTCAAAATGACGAAACAATTGATAAATAGTTTTGATGCATGGGGAAGTTTTGGTTTCCGGAATTTTCTCTGAGATACTGTCCTAAAATACCGTAAGCAAAACCACGATTGTCCTCCAAATACATTTCTATAAAGCAACAGCCAAAAGAAAATTCTTAAGTAAAGCGTCCAATTTCAAGTATAACACCTTCCTAATGTTGCACCACTAGGGTGAGGGGCCAGATGTAATTATGTAAACAGTTATATACAACATTTATACCTATTTAATTACTTTTCTGTTTGCATTATTTGAATAATCACTTACCCAAGCCCAAGTATCTTGTAGAAACTTCATCAGAATCTGTCTTTTTCATACCAGCAAGATTTGTCTTGTTACGAGAGACACAATAGAGTACCACCTTGTGTATTCTAGATGCTGAAGCCATTCCTCCTGTATTTTGTATCTGGTTGCAGAACCCCTTGCTTCCCCCAGTGCTCCACCATTTTTGTTATTTGGCATCTAAACAGTCTGCTCAATAAATTAGATTTTTCAGGTGCTATAGAATAGACATGAGAAGACTTTTTGTTTTCCTCCATGGCCATGGCGTATTTCTATCATATTAATAACTACCTGAACTGGTATCAGGTGTGGAAGTTCTAATCTGCTAGTTCTGTCTTCTGTTTTATTTCATTGTCTGCAAGTCAATTTTAGATCTTAGTGACATTTGAGAATGAAGCTAGCATAAAAAGTACTTTGTATCTAACCAATATTGTATTAGTTCCTGTTGCTGGTTTTAAAATATCTGGCTGGATTGGACTGATTGGCTCATGTAGGGAATTGGAAAGCTTAACATTTCTCAGATTATAAAATTGCATTGTTGCATGCTCTGCCTGAATTCCTTACTTTATTTTGATGAAAACGTAAAGTCAGAGGAATTGATTAATAATTTCACAAGCAGTGAGACAAAGTTGGAATATTTCATTTAAGAAACTTTATGCTGGGTTTTTGGTGGTTTTTTTTAAGGTTTTTTTTTTAAATTTGTATTCATGCCTTAAATGTTACTGACTTTTTTTTTTCTTTGTCAGAAATCAGCCTTAATGTTCGAGACCCTCCTACTAAAATAAGTATTATTCCAGAAGAAATGGTTAAGCCAGAGTGGGGATTACCTGAAGTTAAATATCGGTTTATCACAAGGTAAAATAGAATTTTGTTGGTTATCAAGCTGGAACTTAAATTTCACTACATTACACTGAACGTTAATTGGAAATGTTTTTTGAAAAGTTTCTGAGAAAGCTTTATGTTTTGTTATTAACCAATACTTACGTTTTTGCTTTGTTTTGGTTTTAGGTCAGAACTCGATGACTTACCAAACAATCATTCCTGTGATGTTATTGGTCTTGTGACATTTGTAGGAAGGGCTGAACGAGCAAGAAAGAGAGGTTTTTCTATAAATATGACTTTCAGAATTTATCAAACAATTTTTAACTTTCTGAATAAATGCTTATACATTTTTCTTAATATTTGTTTATATAGAACATGGTGAAGATTTCTGGCTCTATCGTTGGGCACATGCCATTGATGGGACCTCAGACCAACCATTCATACTGGAATTATTTGCAACTTCTCAGCCAGATGTGTTTGAGCATATTCACCCAAGTATTAATCTCTCTATAATACTTATTAACAATGACTTACAGTGTTCTAGTTGGTTGCTAATTTCAAATTCTGAGTATAATTGCCACAGAATAAAATATTGCCATGGTTTATCTTCTCAGATAGAAAACAGCTGATCAGAAATTAAAATTTAAAAATAAAAAAAAATAGTTTTAAGTATTTGAAACCCTTATATTGCCATCTGCCAGTTAGTCTAAAGAAAACAGATGGACAGCTGGGCCTGGGGCTCATCTGATCTCATTATTTTCAAACAGAAACTTAAGCGAAGCACCTGGGGCAACATATCTTGCATCTGAGGCAAATAGAGAAGGCAGCTGGTCAAATGTATTACTCCTTTTGTCCTGTAAATAAGTATTATTTTTTTTATAGACAGGAATAATTTAAGAGGATTGGAGGAAGGGAGAGGTGAAAGCGGAAAAGCTGTGTTAGTTATTTCATGTGAGCTAAGAATCACAAATTTGAAACTGGGGAATCCTTAATTAAGGTTTTTAAAAGAGCTTTAAATATTTCTTCTGGCCTTCTTTCTCTTCTCCTCCAAGCACTCACCCTTCCATTAACTCTGGTTGGTGTCATGTGCATTTTTTACATCATATGATGTGGGACCAGCTGCACAACCCTGTTAAGATTATGGCTGCATTCATCTTGAGAGTTCTGAGGAAATGGCAAAGAATGACATTCAGTGTTTAACTGAGATATTAACAAAAGAGTGAGTTTGTACTAATTTATAAGTTTTGCAGTGGCATGTCATGATTTCTTGTGCTTTCCGTGATTTTATGCTTTTTATCCTTAAGAAGCACAGCCATCTAATATCCACATGTTTACTATTTGTTTCATTGATATCTTACCTGATGAAGTATCTCATGTTTTAGTCCTAATATGTATGCTGAATTTCCTTGCACAGTTATTAAATTGAAAATTTAATTGCATCTCCATGTTGTAATTTATAACAGAGGCTCAATACATGCTGAAGCATTTGTAGGGTCAAGAACTAAAATGTCTTGTTTAGAGCACTTAAGAAAATTAATCCAGTGTGTGTCAGTCTTGACATTCTAAAATCAGTGAAATACCAGGAAAAAAACTGAAGGTTTTTTTTTTCTCCAGTGACATATTTGGTGTGTACACAGATGAGAGTGGTACGGGACCTCACTGACAATCCTTCCAGCACAATTTACCTTACGACTTCAAATGAAAGTCAAATATTCATTACAGGTAACTTTAAACTAGTTTTAGGTTTATGTAGTTCTCATCTTATTTCTTTGGAAAAGGGTATTTTTGTTTTACAACAAAATAATCAGTGCATAATATTAGTTTCCCTGTCAGAAATCATTCTGAGTTAATAATGAAATACCACTGAAAAAGAAAAAGGCCAATTGCATTCTTGTGAGCCATTAATGGGTGTTTCTTGTGAAAAGTACCTAAGCATTATTAGTTGAAGTCATATGTTTACTAATTCTTTCATACTGTTTTAATCCTTTGATAGTGTAGCAATGTAGATTGCCACTTCTTTAAAAACATTTAAAAATCACTTGAAGCTTTTCTGGCTTACAGATTTCCTTGTTACAAAAAAAAAAAAAAAAAAAAAAGGTATAGTTGTCCTAAATTTATCTTAGGTAATCTTTTTCACCAAATATTTGGAGAGCTATGTTTCAGCTTTCCCAATGTACCAGGCCTTACACAGACCACATGGTCTGGGAAGGGATGTGATGCTGAGCTGCACTGAAGGAGCATTCCTTCTAGATAGTCTTGTTTGAATACTCCCATCTGCAGTTACAATACTCTTTATGGTCCTGTGATACTGTACACTAGATGCCACCAGTCAGCATGTCACAGGCAGGACCAGGCATAGCTGTTTGTAGTATATTTGCTCTTGAATCAGGAGGCAGATTATAGCAGTGTTGCAGATGTACTGGCCTAATTGCAAGGGAGTATAAGATTCAATAGGTGTATCTTTCCTTTGTTTATACAGCTTATTTCTTAAGTGTTACTAACATATCAGTCACCCAGTCTGAATCTTTCTGCTGACAAGTAGGAATAGAGAAAAATATGTTCCCAAAAAGTACCTGAACATAGTTAGTTCTAGACACATGATCTTTCCTGACAAGCTGGGTAGGGTGTTTTGTGCTTAATTGGACTAGCAAAGCAAGCTAGTCTTTTTGTTAATGTTCTAATGATTTAATTTATTCCTAAATGAAGGGTTTGAGAGGTTGGTTTTTTTCCTTTGCTTTCCTTCAGTATATTTTGTGCTTAATTTTCTAATTAAATACTTAAGCTTTAGTTCATTTTATGTCTGTTTGGGTCCTAAATGAGAACTACAGCTGGAGATTGCAAACCATTGGGTAAGGTCTGTTTCAGGTCACAGGTTAGACGTAGACCTGGTCAGATTACAATTTGTTTGATAAAACTGATATTTAGTCCATATCTTGGTTTTAAACCAGCCAACAATGAATATGTACCTTGCCAATTACCTGTCAGTAACAATCTTTGCTGAACCCTATGATGATGATTTGTTTGCTCTTTCCTGCTAATAAAACAATTTCTGATCATTTTGTTGTTTCGTATGCTCCTGTGAGAAAATATTCTAGTAGCATTTTTGCTAGTTGTTTTATTTCTTTCTATTGCTTAACATTTGTCTAACTTTCAGTGTCAAATGCAAGCGTTAGTCAAGGAATTCAAGATACTCGTTTCATAAAACACTGTTGGCTAGTGGAAAGGTGTCTTTTGTATTCTCTAGTCCAGTTTTAGTTAATTCAGTTTTTCTACGTATTGTTCAGGATAGTTTCAAGATGAGAACAGGTGACAGTAACCTGCTTTGGTTTTGATACCTGATTATTTTTGTTTTAAAAGGGTGGCACAAGGGCCAGCCATACACCAAGGATACCAAAGTGAAAAACTTCATTCAGTGGACTAAAACACAAAGCGAAGCAGATCAAATGAAGAAAACTGTCATTGGTGGCTATTATCCTTTTCCACGACCTCCAAATAACTTTTTGAAATATTGTAAAAACAATAAAGGTATCATACCGTCGAATAACTTTACGATGTGTAGCCTTTTTCAGTTCAGTCTTACTCCAAGCATTTAAAGCATCAATTAAAAAGCAACACAGTTACTATTAGTGATTACACAAATTTGTAATGTCATTTAAGAAAAACTCCCTTTTGTGACTAAATGTATCATAGGCTAAGTCCTCATCTTACAGAAAGTATCACGGCACCATTAGCTGCAAGAGAACTGTAGCAGCTTACATAAGTTACAGATCTCCTCAGAAGTTTTACTTTGAATATTTTGCTAAATCAGAATTAAAGACAGTTATACTGAAGAATACAGTGAACTAGAAATTTCACCTGAAACAGAAATTGTGATATCTGATAATGCATCCTAAAAGATGCTTGTGAGATAAAAAGGTTTATTGTTTACATTGTTTTCCATGTGGTATGAACAACAAAAAGATTTAAAATTATTCAAAAATATAATTATTAAATTGATTTAATATTTAATAACAAATTATCATTTCTTTTCAGTCTTGCATTCAGACATTTTGATGCTGTATTTCTTTAAAATTTGTTTATGGAAATTTCTTTTTTGCAGTTGAATCGGTTTTGAAAGCCATAGGTGAAACGGGGAAAGAGATTGAAGACTTGCACTACAGAGAACACAAGCGCATTGCTGTTCAGGGAATAATTAGTGCCATAAGATACGTAAGCTGTAGCAATGCAACTGAAGAAGCCTCAGGAGTGGAACTTGTTCAGGTACAGTGTTTGAGAATTAATGCTATAGCACTTAAGCAACTATGATCATAATTACAATGGAGAATTTTGCATCTGAGTGCAGAGCCTAGTTATGTTGTCTCTTGATTAACTTCATTTGCTATTTTGGGAGCAAAATTTTTGAAAGTCATAATTTAGAACTTTTTAAAAAGCAGTGCTTCAGTGCTTTTCTGAAAGTGTTACGGCAGTTCTCCATAAAACTATGTAATTATTTAGAAGTTACTTGTTTGACTGACTGGATGTCCCTAAAGTAAATTACAATGTGAGAGAGGCAACTACTGCAACATGCTCACTGTCACTTTCTAGACAGAATTTATCTTATTAATATTTTTAGAAGATAATTTCTGCTAGTTATAACATGACTTTCAGAAGGTAGGGTAAATTGTTCTATTCCTTTAAAAGTTATTTTAAAGCTTGCAGGTTTTTAAGTTGGAAGCAATAGCTTTAAGTACTTTGAAACTCTTAATTAACTGTTGTTGCAGAAAGATACTTCTCAGTCTCTTGAAAGTTCTGCTGTGTCCAAAGAAGACTGTGGTCACAAGGGAAAAAACACCAACCTTCAAAATAAAGAAGTTAAGTCTTTTCTGGGGCAACATTGCACTCCTGGGGAACAACATCAACACCCAACTCTACTGCCAAAAAAGAGTTCAGTCAAGAGAAAGATACCGTGCAGATTAAATACAGATGCAGAACAGTAAGCTCTCTTCATAAATATGTAGTGGATCTTCTAAAAAGTGTTTCTAGAAATTAGTTCAGACCCCAGGCCATAGAAAATATATAAGAAAACTTTAAAAGCATATATAGTTTAATCTTTAAAAGGTAGTTAGGTACTTTTCCTAGCATCAGTTGATGACAATTATACTGTTCAGGCTAAAGAGGAATCTATTAAAGCAGGTGTCTGGTTTGCAGTGCTCTCTTCTGATTAATATTTATGCTACTTTGTTGTTAATCTCGCAGATTTGAAATAGAAGTAGTTAACACTTGAACCATATATAGTTTAGTGGCATAGCAGTGGAACAAGCAACAGTCACAGTGGTGTGAGGAAATAAGATTTCTTCACTGACGATGCAGAATCAGGATCTGGTATACCTGTTCTTTAATTTCAAACATACCATTTTTTTCTTTCTGATTAATGGAATGTGCTGCCTGTACCTGTGACTTGCTGTCAGAAGGGCAGGTACATGGTGGTCATGTGCTAACCTGAAGGCTTGAAATAATTTGTAGTACTGTGGTTCTGCTTGTGATGGGATTTCATGAAATTGTATTGCATATAGTCAGACATAGACAAAGGATATCAGTCCAATATAAGGAAGTGGAATAAAACAAAGTAATATGATACAACCATATTAAATTCAAGAGTAAAATATCTGCTTGTATAAGACTGCCCTTTGTTGCAATGTTTGTGCAAAATCTAATGTACCCATACTTAGTATTAAAAGCCTGGTGTATACATTGACAGATTTAAAGTTGCAAAAATCTAGCCAGTCACATCTTTTTTTTTTTGTAGTGGATTTCTCATGCCGTAAAGGGTATATTTTTTCTTCTTAACTTTTCCCATCCAAAAGTCATAATGTGGGAAGAGGGTGGGTATTCAGAATATTTTGAGGGAAAATAAGATGAAATATAATTAGGATTGAAGAAAAACTTAAGACTAAGAGAATCCTGGTGAATAGAAGTTCTGTCTTGGCAGTGTTACAGCAAACTTGTTAGTGGATTTCTGTTCCATAAGAAAAATTCCAGCATTTGAGTGTCTTAGGTTAGTTCTGCCTGAAAGAAAAACATGCATGTTCTTTGCTTTGTGTATTTCCATTTAAATAAATACTGTAAAATAATGGTGAATTTCCTGCTTTAAGGGGAAGTGCATCTGTTATTCCTGTATCATCTTACCCCTATTTCACACGGTCTGCAAGAAGAAAATGTGGGTAAGTCACATGAAGTTAATTATGTTAAATAATTACAATGATGAAACAAAGATATTTGAAGTGAAGCTTTTACAGGTCAGGAATCTGTATGGAAATGAAATGAAGTGAAAGAACAGATGAGGGTAGAGTTTAATATTTTCTGTTCACTTCCTCTGCACTGATTCTAGTTCAAATATATTGGATTATTTTATTCTGAAACAATTTTGAGTGTGTATTAAACATTTTTATATTGCTACTAGTGCTACTTATGGAATATATAGCAACGTGTTCATTGTGGTAAGCAGAGTAATATATGTAGTCTTTGTTTCAGAGAGATTACAGTTTAAGTAGGAAAGTCAAAGGTAGGAGGGAGGGATGCTTAATTAGCAAGCAGAGTGAACACAGTAATAGCATTAATGGATTTGCTAGCAGTGGTTAAGCTATACATCATCCTTGATGCTACAGAGGTGTAAGTATAGTTGTGCCTGAGAAGCCACTTGGCTCCTTCCACTACCCAACACTCAGTCTTTATTGAACTCATTTTGGATCCAGAGAGGGAATTTTAAAAAAACAGATAGGAATTTCAAATCCAGAGCCCTGACAAGTCTGGAACCTAATGAAATAACTACAAATGGGAAATTATTAAGAAAACTGAATGAGTGCTGTTATTTGCTAGTCTGGGATAAAAAGCTACTTTCCTTCTTGCATTTTGTTTAACGGCCATAAATTCTTGTCATTTGTTCCAAACACAGCTCGGGTAACTCGAGTAGTTGAACTCTTTGGTGTCAGTAACTCCAGATGTTTGGGTTTTTTGGCAGTGGTGATTTGGGCTTGTGTCCTGAGTACGTATACCCCTCAGTTGCCGCCTTAGTTTACTTTTAGCACCTCTTCCTTCCCCCCTATAACAAAGAATCATGGTGCCGGTGATATAGCAACAATAGTAATGATGGAGTTGACTGTAAGTTGTTGACCATTCTGCTGGGATTACTGCCCTACAAGCATGCCTATTTTTTGAAAAACATTTCTTGGAAGCTAATTTGCAAAAGCTTTTTCTGTGGGATAAACAAGGCTCTTTTGAGCCCACGCCTGTTGTTTCCTCTGGTCCTCTTGGTAGATACTGCATTTTCTAGGGGAAATGGTTGCCTGGCTCTGCAGCCCATTCATTAAATGTGTGACACCTGCCTTTAAGGTCACATCTCTGCAGGTGGTGCAGGAGTTCGCATGGTCTTGTGGCACAAATCCATAGGAAAACCAGGAGGTTTTTTGGAATGTGAGGAATCCTGTTTTCTTCTGCTTGCTGAGAAATGTTCCATTTTTTCTTGGGGGTGGAGGGTGGGAAGAATGTTTTCTCCCCATTTCTTAAAAGTGAAGCAAAAAGTTAAGGCATGTTTACTTTGTTCTCTGCTTTTCTCAATCTGCTACTCTCCTCGCTACCTGTGTGTCCACTCTATGCCATTAGTGCTAGAACCCCAACTAAAGGAGGAGAAAGTCTGTGTTGGATTATGGAAAGCTGTTTCACTCTATATAATTAAAAGGTAACTTGTGTATTTCTGTGATTAACTATGAAGTTGTGCTGAATTCTCCAAACTGCAAAAGAAAAATAGAAAGTTAGCCTGACATTCCTTAAAATTGCATTGGTTTCTGTTCTGTTGCTTAGAAGTAGCAGAATGTCAGCTCTCACTGAAATATTTTAATACATTGATGAAATAACAACAGTAGCAATATGTTTTGAAGTACATATTCTAGCTTAGATTATTTTGTGTCAAGTATTTTGTGCAGTTTTTCAGCATGTGGTAGCATTTTTTAAGTTTTTTGTTTTTAAACAGTAAAAGCTTATTTTAAGGGTCTTTATTGACAGCCTCAGTTCCCACATTTCTGAGGTAACTTATTTATCGATTGTTTCAGAAAAAACAAGGTAAGAGGAAACTGGTTAATTTAGTATTATTGTTGATATTTATATCCTTGCTAGTAGAGACATTCAACATAAATGTACTTTTAAGCATTTAATATACCCCGAAGTAGTTTAATTGATAGTTTATTATGAATGGGGAAAGATCAGGAATTTCAGAAAGGCTTGTTTATATGTGGAAGTGAAAAAAAAACCCACAGTAGTTTTCTTAGCATTTTAATCTTTGTAAGTTTAGCATTGCAGTTACCATGGAGCTGCTGGTGCACCACATGCTCACATTCTACACTGCTTAAAAGTAACTTGCTTCTATCCTTGGAGTTTCATTTCTAAATGTTTATGTAGCTTAGACCCTTTTCTCCTTTTTCTCTCTCCTCTGATGAGAGCGAAGGGATGAGGATTCTATCATATGGGGAAATTCAGCTTGAGGTTTCCATGACTGAAAGTTTCCTAGAATTTGATGTTTCCTTCAGACCCCTTTTTCACATATATCAGAATTTTTCAGGGAGAAATTGGTAAATATCAACAATCAATTTGTGTAGACTTGTAAAATTATTGTAGAAGTCTGTTTGGTTTCTTTGTTACCTGCATGGTAGATGCGTATACCATAATGCTGTCATGACAGTTGAGTTAAGTTATTTCAAACCAGTCTATAAAATAAGGCTTTTACCAGTTATATCAGTGAGGGGGGGGGGGGTTGGGGCACTTTCATTCCTTCCATCATTTGGGCATAGCTACAAGATGTAACTATTTTCTTTCTCAATTTTATTTATCACATTTAGTCCCAGTGCTTAGGAAATAGGTGTGAAGCACAAGACATGCTTATTTTCCCAGTATTTTCTGAAAGTATTCATCTGCTATCTATTTTGATTAATGTTATTTTTGTTGACGGTACTTTAAAGTAAAATGACTGAAAAGATGAATACCAGTGCATCTGGAAATACTGAATAAAGGCTTTTTTGCGAGTGGGCATCTGTGAAAAGAGGGAGGCTGCAAAATGCAGGCTGGGAATAGCAAATTTGGCATGGCACACGTTCTCATAAAGTTGGCATGGGCAAAATAGGAATGTGGGTGTTTAGGTGTACAACAGCCACAGCATATTGCAGTAAATGGAAGGGTTTGGGTTATATCAGGTGGCTTGCAGACATACTGGCTGGCAAAGCAGCATATAAACTGTGTATAGACAAGTAGGTTTCCCTTATGAACTTAGCTCAAGTTACACTGTACGCACATCCAGCACAAAGCAGTCCGGTAGGAATAACATGTCGGGCAGGTAGGAGAAATCATCCCAGCTACAGATCTGTGAAAGAAGTGGGGGAAAATTATGGCAACTTATTTTCATATTTTTTAGAGGCTCTACTAGCTCTAAATCAGAGCCTATTCACCTCAGTTTTAAAGGAAAAAGAAACCACTTCCATAATAGCAACTTTTCAGCAGTATGGTTGTTTTAATCTTCTGCTTTAATGAAGAGGGAAGTTGGCATGTATCTACCTTGACATGTTGATTTCTGAGCAAGCCTGTCCTAACATTTTGCTAGATTTTCATGTCTCTTGTTGAGAAGTCCGAGTCTCAGAAGTGAGAATTAGTTTTGTGGGCATTAATTGTCAGTTAGACTACTTTTGTTAATACTTTTGAAAATGTCTTCTTTTGGCTTGAAAATGTATTAATATAGCTGGTATATAAATGTTTAATTCATTGTTATGCATACACAGTAGTTGCTTTCCATGATGGTTTTTGTAAAAGGAATTAATTCTTTGTAAGATACTATTTTCATGGAAATGTTCTTTTATCTAGAAATAATACCATAAGAAGCACAATGTAATTAATGAATTACCATTTTACAGAGAGGCAAACTTTCCTACTACCTTTCATCTGAAAACATAAAAATACCACTGCAAAAACTTAGGTCTGACATCTTGCATGTATCTTTCTGAGGTTGCCCCGGACCTCAAAATTTGAGAAATACTTTGTACTGCAAAGTTACATAGAAACACAAATTTTCATTTACCAACATTTTCAACACAACTCTGCTCAGAAGCTTGGGTGGGTGGTGGGAAGCAAGTAGGGTCACACTGTTTTAAAGTTCTCTATGTGGCAGCTTTTTTTGTTTACAAAATTAGGTGGCTGAAACCTCAGTTGCATGGTTCGTGCTGCTTAAGCGAGGATTCTTTTGTGCCTAGAGTTGGAGATCTCAAGAAGGTCACTCCAGTACTTAGCTCATACCACAATGATAGTACATTTCATAAAATGTACTTTCATACTAAAAAACCACAATGTATTTCCTTTTATCTTTTCACTAGATTTTAGACATTTTCCATGTTATGAAACATTGACATGAAATTTTCAGGATATATCCTAGGATGAAATGGGAAAAATTGGGGAAAAAAATGTAAATTCTTATGACTGAAATACAGAATGTCTCACTAAACAGCATGTTCAGCTTTGATTCCTTTTTCACTGTCTGTATATTGTCCCTGTGTATTCGCAGTTACAATATTTTTATTAGTAACAACTTTGGTAGTCTGGAATTTTAATGGTACCTTAACAAAGTCTTCCCTACATCTCAGTTGTTTGTGATGCAAGATAATCAAGATAGTATTTTTCCTAAGTTTATTCAGACATCACGGTGAGTTTATAGTAAGACGAATGGAGCAAAGAAGAAAGGAATAAACGGGCCTAAGAGCTTATTTTACCATGTTGTGGCTGCAGGCTGTTACATTTTTCTCCTGCATGATATCCTAGGTCATTCATTAGAGATTGTTAGAGAATAGTTGCTTACTGTTAATTTAAAATTTAATGGTTAAAAATGAAAATATAACAAAAATCTAGTTTGCTTGATTGAACTGATCTTACAACAGGGTAGTATGTCCAAAGGAAAATATATTATTTGGAATTTCTCTATCATTTTGGATCCCAGAGTGATGATGCGGCTCCATTCATGCTTTGGTTTTGACTGCTGAAGGGTGCTGATATGAAAGTGCAGCAGCATGCTGTGCAACCACTTTTTAGAATCAAGTCATAAACCTGTTGGCCGTCCGTGATGTTCAGCTTTTAGTGTCACACTATTTCCAGTAGGTGCCCAGTAGAGGGCAACAAACACTGGGTTTTTTTGAGTGCAAAATACTTTACTTCATAAACCAAAGAAATACAGCAGTTCTTGTCCTGCGCTCTTCAAAACTGGTTCACTGAGTGTAGTAGGTCTCGTTATGTCAAGCTGCTATATTACAAGTCTCGTGATATGAGGTAGCACAGCTACTAGTGCTCACTCATTTGAGCTTGTATCATTTATCACTAGAAATCTGTCAAAGTTTGAACTTTTGCTGCATAGTGCTTGAGGTTAAATAGGTTTTAAATATATATATACTATAACTTTCTTTTTATAGCTTGGATGAATGTCAACATGAAGATTCTGTGCAAGATAAAAATGAACAGGCTGTATCAGATGGTTTACAGTGCTGCACAGGTATGTTGCAAATAGTTGTTACATTAACCTTAGAACGTTTAAGCCTACTTCTACTCTTCAGGTCCAAAACAGGCAACAGAGGTATCCTTATAACCCTCGTTTGTCAAGACAGTTCTTCTGTACATCTGGCTGCATCAACCTCTAGGTAGCCACTGTAGCAATGTATTGTTAATGTCATTCTGCTCAGTCACGTCCCTGATGTGTTCTAAAGGATGGCTGGAAGGATGATGTTGGGCTGTTTCCCAGTATGGGGAATAAATTCTCAGTGTTGCTTTATACAAGTTTTAAGTTAGTTCTGTACCTCAGAAGCACTTAGTAGCGTAAGACCCCACATTTTCTGTTGGCAGTTTTCTTGCTATAGTGATTTGCATGTGATAAAATTGGCCCTCTCTGGGAAGGTAGCCCCAAAGCTATGTAAGTACCTAATTAAAAAGACAAATACAAGATGTGGGGAGGAAATGGATGAAACATATAAGCCAGTAATAAGAATGATGTTTGGTTTAGGGATTTTTCTAAGTTAATAATCTTTCTTCCTCTGCAATTGAAAAATGAACTTGTGTTCCATGCAGTTAGTTTCTTGATACCTGGTTTTGGTTGGAGAAAGAAGTCTAACTTGTCACTTGTCATAATGTGCAGATTGGTCTGGTTTTTTATTTCATGCAAATATTTTGACATGTTTTCCTCTTTTCAAAGCCAACTGAACCTGAGTCATGTAATTTTATCTAAAAGTTCGTCTACTACTAGCATCTGTCCCAACATTAACATCTGCCAATTTACTTCTATGTATAGCTATATTATGTATAATGTTGCCCATCCTTTTATTTTTGCAAGGCAGCAGTTCTTCTTAGTTTAGTTATGGCTGCGATAGGTTGTTCTTTTTAGCCTATTGATGATGATTTACTCTATTTTGCTGCTTTAAAGCAATAGAAATTACAGTGAATTTTCCCAAATGTTTAATATATTAAGAGACTGAAATTTCTCCAACTTTCAAATTGGAGAAAAATCTGTACAGGTAACTTTGAAGTGAAATTTTATTCCAGAGAAAGAGCAGCCTTGGGTACTACATAGAGATCTGTTCTTCGAAAGCAAGAAAACATATCCCTAAGCAAGTTTGCTAATTAATTACTTTATTGGTTGTTAGTCTTTGGTGAAATTTCTTGTTGCTTTTAAAAACAAGAAATCAGATCGAGTGTTCTTGCCTGAAATTATTTTTACAGGAATTTCTGGTAGCTGTAGTGTTCATTGTGCTATGCTGTTACTCTCTCAAGAGTTGTTGGGATATTGTGTAGATCTCACAAAAAGAATGCATGTAAGCCATTTCAATGAGATGGTTTAAAAGGTTGGTTTTCAAAAGAAAAAAAAAAGGATGTGAAGATGTACAGTGAAATACATGCTTCATTTTTTAACTGTACTAAAGAAATCTTGCATTAGATACTTGTATTTAGATACTTTTACTTATATATTTATATATGTACATATTTATATATTTAGATACATTTATTCTCAAATTAAAATATCGTTTACACTGATATTTCCTCACTGCATGTGAAACCCCATTTAACTTCAGTTGGGTGACACTTTGAGTGTAGTCCAAAATAAATGAGTCAGTCCCTCATCTAATCTAAGTATGCAATAATTACATGAATATGTTAGTAAATGTAGCTACTAAACATATGCATATATTTTTCTCACATAACGTCAGTCCTACTGGGAATATCATTGTCTTATAGAAAATACCAATTGTTTAGCTGATGCTAGTTTTATGTGAATAACAGCATGTTTATATTTTGCTTAACAAGCCTACTAATTATAGTGTATGTGTCAAAGTGAACACTTTTTCTATGTTGTGTTCCTTCAGATTTTGAAGATACTTTCTTTTTTTTTTGCAGTATTCTGACACTGTATATCAATTACTTATGTATCATATACCTATTTTTCCATTTACTGATGTGCAGGTCATAGGTAAATGGAAAAGTGTTACTGTAAGCTTCATAGTGTTGTTAATGTGGTCCCAGGTAGAGCAATTTCTGTTTTTTAAATATCAGCAAGGGAAAATGCCCTTAGCTGCCTTTAGAAGCTATTTATGGTAACATGAAATTTCTCCACCCCTCTCTTTATAAGTCTGTGTTAGCAGTACTGACACTTCAATCTCTTAGCAGCTCCATATCATAACAGTCTGCATCAAAGTAACACTTTTTGATTATTTATTGGGTAGATGTAAAAAAAGAGGTGATAGAGATAGCCAAAACAAGATAAATTATAAACATGTATTTTTTAGATGTTGAAATATCTGGGGTGGGGGGGAGCAGTACTTGGATAAGGTTCACTCCCCGGAATTCCGTTTACTCCAGATACTGTTTTTTTCCTTACAAATGAGGAGTAAAAGATTGCACTCTGTGCTGTAAGATAATGTAAAATGTAACTCTAAAGCAGAAATGCAGTGACTCACATTTACTAACAAAAGTGTTTGCAAAAAAGAAACTTTATAGTAATAGTGTAGGCTGATGACCAAATTAACTTCTAATTTTTTACAAGAAAAAAACATCTGCTGTATACTGTAATTATACAGTAGATTTAAAAAAAAAATCCTTCTGCTAACTGAACTCAAAATATGGTTCATCTTAATTGCTTTTTGTGGGAAATCATGTGTTTAAGTGTTCACCATAGCCAGTTTTATATTTTTGATTGGTTTAAAGAAGAAAGTAGTCTTTGCTGCCAAGAGGCTTTCTATAGCTAGAGGAGTTCAAATATTTGCTTTATTTTTCTTCTAAAGTGTGGTCAGATTGTTAAAAATTTCAGCATCTTATTGTTTCAATAACCAGTGGTGGCTGTTTCTACTGTGCTGTCCTAATTACAGATCTGTTTATGCTAAGTTAATAATGAGTGTACAAGTAGGACACGCAAATTACAGCACCAATGATATATTGAGGGAGGAAAGCAAACTCTTGACTGAAGTTTTAGAAAGAGAAAGGGTTTTTTTTAATCCCACTACTTATATTCTGAAACTTTTTTGTACTCAATACTATACATCAGGCAAATAAAGTCTTCATGCTTGTAGAGAATACTGTAATTCTCCAAGTAAATTGGTGAGAAAAAATGTTTCTTTGTGTAGCAGCTTTCATGTGCCCCTTTGCCTTATATGATGGATTCCAGTTCTGTGAGAAAAATACTGCAGGCTGCTTTATGCAATCCAGAGCTCACTTTCAATTTCAGTATCAGTGTCAATTTTCTTTAAATTCACTGTCCTTTGTTGTCTAATTCAATGCAGCAAGACTCTTATTTCCCTTGTTGAATGTTCTTGCCTATGTTGTACCAAGTTTGTGTGTGTACATTCTGGTTTTCTTCATTTTTTAACATCCTGATACTGCATCATAGCAATTATGACACTAAAAAGAAGTAAAATAAAAAAAATGTATGTTCATAGAGAAGTGTACCCAGTTCGGAAGGCTACTTGATGAGTGGTTGTTTCACAGGAGATGGAGGAGATACATGGCTGTACTGGGAATATTTTGAAATGAGCTTTCTGGTAAGGTGGGCTTTAATACTTGCCTCCAAAATTGGAAGTGATGGTTATATAAGCTTTTACCACTAACAATCCTCAAGTTACATGTAATAGGAAAGAAGAATGGAGCTATCATTGACTGTATAGCAAAAAGTTTAAATGTAGCATAGTTCTAAATGTAAGCATATAGTTATTGTGCAAGGGATGGAAAAGTTTGCCTTCACTTGTACCCATTTTAAACTTGTTTTCATGGTTTCTGGCTGTTTGTTAAAGAAGTTTCTACACTCCAAAAACAAGCCAGGATGATGCTCTTCATGTGGTGAAATAAGTCTTTTGACTACAAGTCTAGCCTCTAAGGTTACCAGTTTCTCACGTTCCAACCCTAGTTTAATTCATTGTGTTGTATGTTTTGAACATTCTGCCATGTCTTCATAATTGAAATGTTCTAATGAAAATACTTCTCATCTAGCAGAGAACTGATACAATTCTATGAGCATATATGCAACTAAAGGTTTTCTGTGTTTATAATAGACCAAGAAGGAATGAGTGATGTACCTGAAACTGAAGAGACTGGAAGAACTTATGATTCATGGCAGAGTGACCTGTGGGCACAAGTAAAAGACAAGTTAATGAAATATTTGCATCACAGCGCAATTTTCCCGGAAAGCATCCCACGTAAATTTGATTATGTGCACAAAGACTTACTTATGCAACAGTACAACCTTCATGCAGCAGTGCACCAGCCAAAAGAAACCAGAACAGATAAAAATATCGATGAGTTTAAAAGTGCTAGTGGCCTTGGGTATTATGAAGTGACGGTTCTGGGTAAGTACTTGGTAGCTTGGCTTCTAAAAAAGGTTAAGCAAGAACAGTGTAAGATCTTAGCTCTTTGCTGTGTTAACTTCAGAATGACTTGAAGGTTCGTCAGAAACTGAATGGATTTTTCTAAATTAATCAGTTGATTCTGAGTATTTGTTGAAGTTTAAAAAAATTATTGACACTTTAGATTTTTGTTAGAGTCATGATTTAGGATAATTTTTTACCAGAAAGCTGTAGTTCTCATTAAAAAATACCTTTAAATTAAATGAGTGAATATCTTGGGTTTAGTATCACTTTTCATATAATTGCGATTTTGTGTATAGGTTTATGTGTATTATTTGAAGAATGTGTGTAGTCCTTAAGCTATTGATTATTACAATTAGAGGTAGGTCCTGTTCACTAATTAACCAGTCTGACATAATCAGGTAAATTATTCAGTTGCACTTGATTGTCAGCTGACTTTCCTGCTGGAGGGGTATTAATCAGAAACAGGTTAGTGTTCTTAAAGGGAAAAGGACAAGTATAAATGCTTCTTTTGAGCTTTATTCTCATTGAGTTGTTTTTTGAGTACTGTTGCTCCTAAAGTGCTTTTCTTCCATGTAGAAAATTAAGGGCTGTATTTTAGCCATACTCATGAACTGCTCTCTGCCGCTTCTGGTTAGCACAAAGCATCAGTTGATTGATCTTTATTTGTTAAAATACAAATGTACAAGTTGATGTGTGTCTGTTTGTTAGCATTACTGTGGGATATTAATCTGTTTGATTTTGTTTTCCCATTAAAAGGAGAAGGAAATTGCCTAGCTTAATGATGCTTATGTTAAGTTCCCATAATTTAAAAGTTTCCATTATTTGCTAAGGGAGATTTGCATAGAAGGTGTTTGAATATTTAGTCATTAGAATCCTGGCACTTACAATATAATATTCAATACAAAAGTAGCACAAGTACTGCACCGTATACTGTGTAGATGCACTGGTTGTAAAATGAATTTCTGTGCCCATGTAGCAGCAACAGAGTTAAAAAGGAGTGTGAAATGGCTTCCAATGTTGGTTTAATATTTTCTGAGCTAACAGCATTGTTAGCCTTAAATCACAGTATGTTATAACATTGTATCAAATTGAATGTGCTTATGTATAAATATATATACAAATATATATTGAAATGTATTTTTTATGTCAGTTATTAATTAGTGGACAAAGAACAAGTAAATAAAAATCAGTGTTCAGCCTGCAACACTTTGGTTTTTAAAAAAAAAGAAATGGTGCATGAAGTTGCTAATGGGCTGAAGGAAAAGTTTTCTGCTAACTTAAATATTTTTTTTTTCTACAGGTATAAACCATGACGTAGCAATAGATGTTGCATTTCTTCCACTGTTTTGTCCTGAAGTTCCCCACTTATTTCAACTAGAAGACATTCAAAATGATAGATTATTGTCTTGTATGAGTTGCATCTCTGCATGTCAGCAGAAGGCCACTAGCAATGGAAGGCTTTGTGACATGTTTCCGCTTTCGAGTGAGACTGGCTTTCACTGATGTTACTCATTTATCGTTTCTTGTTCTATCTTTCAGTGCAAGAGTTAATCCTCTATAGAACTCTCTGTTGTAGGTCAGACATTGTTCACCTCTTCAGTGAAAGATGTATCAATTCTATGTGACCACCTTTAGTAAACAGATGTAATACTGAACTTTCAGGGCAGTTTTTACTGGAGCTGTTCTCATACTCTGAAGATAGTATTTTAATATCCAAACCACAAACTCCTAAGTGACCTAGATAGTATTTGTGGTTATTTGTTGATCCAAAACTATACTGTCGTAGAAGTCAGTATGTGTGGCTGAGCATGTGAATATGCTTTGAAATAGAGCAGAATAACTGTCAATCAGCCAATCCATTTCACTGATGTCACTTTGAACAGCTGCTTTAATGCAACCTGTAGTGCCTATAAGCTGAAGTATTTGCCTGCTATTGAATTATTTCCCTTCAGATTATGCTTCTAATTACTAGCACCTCACAACAAATATGGTGACCACTATTAACGTGTATCATACTGCAAAGTGCTATATAACCATTGTGTTTTGCTGCATGTTTATATAGACAGACCTGATTTTACTTAAGTACATCTTTACTTTTCCCTGAATAATACTATGAAATGTGAGAATCACTAATGGTTAAGTAATGCATATTTCAGCTTTTCCATATGTAAGTTCTGATGCTGTCGTTTCTAGTGATTGAATTTACTAATAAAATTCTACCAAAAAGAAAAACAAAAATCCCAGTAGGCCAGCATTTAATAGTTAGAGTGAGGTTTTTCACTGAAAGAAGGTTGAACATAAACATGTTACTGCATGGAAAACAATGTCAATTCAGTATACCTTTTTACTCTATGTATATTAAAAAACCTTTTCTTAACTTCTAGATGAAATTGTAGAAGCAGCGATGGATCTAGATGGCAAACATGTTGTCTGCGTCTTGGACATCTGTCACTTGGGTGATGATAAGGTGGAAGTCTTTCTGAGCAAAATCTACAAGACAATGGAACCTGGTGTGCTGGATCCAGTGTAATTTAATAACTTATTTTTCAAATTTTTATTGTTCGAAAGGAGGGAAATAAAATTGCTGTAACTTGAATACACCCTCTACACATTGCACTTTTCTAGAACTGGTAAACACAAACATAAAATTATGATTCTTAGAGCAATTGTAATGGTCATCCATGTAACTGAGAAGGACAATTTTTGCCTTTATTTTTCGGCAGTCTTGAAACAGATTACACAATGTCTTGGTTACCTATGTTCAAGAAGGATGAATAGACAATACGGTGAGCTTATCTTTTGATAGGATACCAAGGAGTATGATTGTCATCTCTCTGCCTGTGCATATACATACACAGGAAATGTATACATCAGGGTGAGAACTGAGAAGAGAGGCAGGCTTTCCCAATATTAAAGGCAGTGTTTGCAAAAGCATTAACTGGCTGTGATATAAATTTAGGCTGGAAATTAGAATAATTTTAAGGATTAGAGCTATTATGTCCCATAGTGATCTTTTATTGGGAGGTACTAGGGGCAGCCTAACTTCAGCCTAACAGGCTTGAAGCTTACTGTGTTTGTGAAAGGGATTAAATATCACGGTGCCTTTAGTATCCGGGACTGGTCTCAGTGGCCCAAGAAGCCACTTTCAGTTCTTTTTACCTGAGGAAGGTCAAATGCTGTGTTTTTATATGTCTGCTTTTGTATATACAGCGCCAGGTAGTGAGTGCAGCACCCAAAAGTTTTTAACATATTTTATTTATTAATAAAAAAAATAATGAAATCTTTTAAAAAAGAAACTTTATTAGTGGAACTTGCTTCTAGCTTGTCAAGAGAAAAACTGTCTTTAAGGAGTGCTTAGCATGGCAGGATACACAGTTTCTCACACCATTAGGTTTTTTCCTACTGATCACCACAATCCTTTTTCTTGTTAGTAATAGCTGTATTCTGAGTACATGAAGGAGCTCAGCAGCTGTGAGAAGCTGCTACTTCTGCAAGAGCAAGAAACTATAAAATTCTGTCAACTTTTTGCCTATGTACTAAGTAGCAGCTGGCTCCTGCTGAGTTCAGAACCAAGTCCCACTTTTTCCTCCCATGACAAACAGCCTCAAATAATTTATACAACCAGATCCTTAGGAAATTATTCTCAAGCAGGAGCTGAAACACATTGCTGTTTGACAACTTGTCCATGTGAAATGCTGGTCTCAGTTCAATTCTTTGAGAAGTAATGATTGCATTATGGAAGCTTGCCAATTAAATTGTACCATTATTAACGAAAGCCCACAGAGTTAATTTATAGGAACAAATTTATTCTTTTGTGGAAAACTTCTAGGCACATTTTAGCAGCCTGTTGGTAATTCAGGAGTATCTCTTTCAACTAGTAGCTCGCTCATCTGCCCTGGGGACAGTGGACTTTGTCTTCAAGTACTTAAATTCTGTACCTCAACTTCAGTTAATGGTAACAGAAGAAGAAACGTAATTGTCTTTATTATAGTACAAGTTCATAGGCAACTTCAGATGAAAAGTAAAAGCCTTAACATTGAAATTATTCTGTCTCTCTAGTGTGGTTTACAGTTTTAAAATGTATTAATGAGAAAAGTTTAACTTAAATTGTACAGGGACTAAAAGCTAATTAAATGTGACTATGTATTGTATGTTTATATTTTGTATGGTTCATATAGTGTTAGTTCTAGAGCAATGTTTGTCAACCCATGCCTTTCAGGGTACATTGTAACCTTGCCACTGAAGGCAAAATGAAAACATACCAACCCGAGAAGAGCACGGTGTTGGTTGCAATATGTTATTTGTGTAATTTTGTTGCTTATGGGTATGTGAAGATTAGAGGTCATTGCTCTAGACTGAGAGAGATTAGCACCAGCACTTCGTGTACCAAACTGAGCCATGCTGACTGTGTCAGCCAGTATTTTTTATTTAGATATACTTCAGGTCGAAGTCTAATTTTAATGAAACCGTTATTTCTAGACATAATTTTTAAAGTAATTATCTTTGTATGAAAGGACTGGTGTGGCTAACGCTGACAGAGCCACTCTATTCGGTTGTTCTAGCCACTCCATCCATCCCTTGCAACAGAAATGCAGCAAAGGCTGTTTGCCACATTGCACTGCTTACTATGCTTTAAACATGTAGCATTAATCATTTCATCCTCCATGTTAGGAATTCCTAACTCTAAAAGAAATATCAGAATGGTGTGGAATATGTGTAATATGATCTTGAGACTTTAAGGTATATAATTTTATTTTACAGAAGTGTTGTTTGAAATTTTTCATGGCAAAAGCAGGAAGGAGAGATATTTACTCCTGCAGAATGAAGTGCCAATGTTAGAAGTACAGGCTCTCTGTGTGTAGCTAGAGAATATTCAATGCCTGTAGTAGATCTGGAGTTTCAGTACTCGGGGTCATTCTGTAGAGGCACTTACCCCACCCCTGTAAGTTAACACTGAACTTAATATGCCAACTTCAGTTTCTGAAGTGTTGCAGTGTTAATATATGGTTCCACCACTCCTCCACTTCCTCCCTGCCAAACCAGCACTGTAGCACTGGGCAAAGGTCCTCTCTGCAAAGAAACTACCTGCTGGTTTGTTTTACTTGGTGTTTATTGACGGAAGTATAAAACCAAACTATTTTTGATCCCGAGTCTGTCAAAACATGTTAATTTTGCTGTGTTAAACCAAGATAGAGAATCTTTATTCCTGCAAAATGTCATAGGAATCATCTTTCTTGCTGCTGTGTATTGCTACTGCTGAGGGTAAAATACTATCAGAGCACATTCCCTAACTGTAGAATTCATACCCAACTCTAAAATCTTAACATTTGCATGTTTTTTATGTTTCCAGCATTAATTTCAAAGAAAACCGGGGAAGGTATACTGTATGTAGCTAATGGTACTTTTGAGTATATAAAACTTGCTAAATCATAGATCTTAGAGTTAAGATCAGTTTTGAATTAATGTGATGTAGAATTAGTGCAACACTGAAACCTGGAGAATATAAATAAATGAATTAATATATGTAAACGTCTTGCATTATTTCTTTCCATTTTCTTTTTGCTTACGAAAGTTGTTTCAGTTTTCCAAGAATCTTCTCCACATTGATGCTTACTCTTTTAAAGAATCTTTACAGGAGAACTAGGTTGATCTTCTGGCAAAATACACGCCACCAATTGCAGCTTCTCTTGGCCTTCAACACTGTGTGCAGCATGACTTTTGCAGAAAACCAGGAAAAAGGTCTTGATAACTTTACAATTTGTCCTTTGTTTTCATTATGGACTACAGAGTTCTGACATTAGTAAGGTTTTCATTTTTGTGTTCTAATATAAGAAAACAAGAGTTGATGCTAGTAATTGTTATGGAGTACAACACTGACTGAATTCAGAGAAAGAATCTATAGAGCCTACGTCCAGAAATGGAGAGTTGTGTGATAATCATTCAAACATCTCGATGTAAATCTTGAAAGTGAGCTAGAACGTGAAAATGGGCTGAAAGAGGTAGTTTGCTTCTGTGATCAGTTTAGCTGATTCTACGTCTCTTGCATTGGTATAAATCAATATTAAAATCAGTTCATTATAAACACCAGAACAAGCTGGACCTGACAGAGTAGATGACTGGAAGAATCTGAAAGGAGAAATGCGGGGAATGACTTGGTTATCTTAGTCTGTAAGATGAGTAATTTTTTTTAATATTTCCTTCCCTCCACTTGTGCCCTTTTTAACAGGGTCATTTGCATCACAGATTGTGCTGTGAAGTGAGAACCCTGAGCTTACATCACTGAATGAAAGCTGACCTGGTCCTCTGAAGTGACGTTCAGGTTGAAATAGGAGCAGGGGGCTTGAGCAATCTCTTAGGAAGCCTCATCAAAGCTAGAATTTGTGCAGTAATGGGAGAGAAGCAGGGGGAGAACGATGCTTCGTGAAAAAGGAGCAGAAAGTTGGGGCCAAAGGTTACTTGCAGGTCCTTCAGCCTGCACCTCTACTTCACAATAGGCAGGTGTGTCACCTGTGTCCGTCCCAGCCCCCACTCCCGATAAGCTCACTGACACCTCCAGGACTCGCCTGGCTGGTGTCAGGTTCCTGCTGGACCTGAAATTTCAGACTCCTCAGCAGGCTGTGGGCTAACAAGGACCACTACCAGCTGAAAATACCTATAGACGTCTACGTTTTGTGCTTATGTGAATAAGCAATGAAGCAAGCAGATAAGTTCAGGTTTTTCTGCCTCCCGGCGGTTGTTAGTATTTTATTCAAGCCTACAGAGGCATTTTCTGTGAGGGCCTCTGTAAGTGTATTCTATTTCAACAGCACTAGCAACAGGTCTGTGTCGGAGCAGTGCGAATGTGGCCTGTATGGATTAAATTCTCCTCTGCTGAGTGCTCAGGGGCTTGTGGGCATTCCTCAGTCTGCTAATCTTCAAGCCTGCGACGCAAACACCCAGTTCACCGTCACAAAACCACCGTGGATAGCACTGATTGAAAGAGGGAATTGCAGTTTTGCTGAAAAAATTAAGGTGGCAGCCAGAAGGGGTGCAACAGCAGCTGTGATCTACAACGCGCCGGACAAAGGCAAAGGCATCGTCCTGATGTCGCATCTCGGTGAGTACCACAGCGTGAAGTGCTGAAACCTGATCATTTCTCTGAAGTTTGGTCCAGGGCAGGCTATAAGGAAGCAGTTGTGTTTGTGGATGACTGTTGCTTTAATCGAGAAATTCAGTGGAAAAGAAAATGCATTATGCAATTTGAGTTTTGACTTCAGTGCTTAGTAAGAAATACTCCGCTGTTAGGTTCTGAGCTTGGTACAGTGCAGCCAAACTGGTGGGTCTCTGAAGTAAGTACCGTTTTTTACTTGCACAGCACGCAAATTATTTTAGACAGTGATGTAGAGAAACCCGTAGTGTCTGCTTTGAAGGCACTAGTTTATTTTTTGAGGTTAGAGGACACAAATGAGCCTACAAGCATCTGCACCATAGCTATATGCTTTGCAGATTACAAGCCAGATCTTGCTTCCCCCCTCCGCCCCCACCAAATCGTTCTAATCCTTTCTGAATAGTGGCTGATCTCAGCCTCTTCTGGGATTCCCTAATTCCTTAATGAAAGGTTAGACAAAATGATTGTAATCACCCATTCTGGCCCTAATAGCTATGGATGTGTCATTAGGGAAGAATTGAGAAGCTAACTGTGATACTGTGTTGCTTGGCTTTTATTTCTGTGTGTGTTCCTCTAGGTCAACCTGTCTAGTATTTAAGTACAAAGCGTATGTATACGTAGCTAATTCCATGAAATATACTTTGGTGGAGCTGCACTAGGAATCCTTCGGCGTAAGTCTTGCTTGTTTGATTTTGTGAGCAAGCTGAGCAATTTTTAACCTGGAGATGAGCCAGCATTTTAGTGATCACATCACCATGCTGGTTGGAGTTGCCGCTTTTAGGAAGTTTCTCACTGCGGAGCCCACACCTGGGCAGTTCATAGGAGTCAGCCGACACCAGCTGTTGAGCAGGCTGGCTCGGAGTCTCAGTTGTGCACCTGTAGGAGCGTCACAGGTGCTTTAGAAACCTAACCATCGCGTGAGGCTCAGCTCCAAAAAAAAACAAAAGACATCCCAAACAAAATGTTGCACGACCCAAGAAAAAATGTGCTGTACAGCGCTGAAAGTGCAGCCACTTGTTGTACTACACAGCCAGCTTTGACTGTCCTGGTATCATGATTGAGCTAGTGTTTGCAAACAGAGCTTAAGTGTTTTACTGGAAATGTGTAGCCAATAAACCAAAGCTTTTGTTCTACCTCTGGAGAAAGTGATTTAGACTTCAGTGGCTGGCATGTCAAGATTCAGATTAACTTGCTTTTTTTATTTGGTTTTGGAGCGTGCCAGCTCATACTAGCACTGGGTGAATAAAGAAAGAATTGTACTGGCTTTATGTAGCTGCAAAATCGGTGCCAGCTGTGTTTCTTGCAAGCAGTGGTGGCCCCAGCTGGCCCACAGTGGGAGCAGGGCAGCCCATTCCCTCGGAGGTCAGCGGAGGAGAACGGGATGGAACCTGGTTTAGACATGCTGGGTAACTGGGATGTCACAAACCCAACAGTTAGACCAGACTCCAGAAATAAGATAATTATTTAGGATGAGCTCTGAAAGCAGACCCTAGATTTTCAGATTTTTTTTTTTCTAAAACTAACAAGATTTCTTAAATCTTGAAAGCAACAGATATATCACCCAAGAGTGTATTTCATGAGACATGAACTTCCATCTTTCTTAATTTAATTCATTTAATTTTCTCAAAGTGTGATTTGTGACTATTTCCTATAGTCGTCCTATAGGACTAAAGTGGATGTTACGATCTGTTTGGTGGCAAAGAGGGTTTATAAATCAGTGCAGTTGTCACATGTGTTAAACACGGTGTAACACATGTTAAATGTCCAGGGACATGACCTTTTTGTCTAATCAGCATAGGAGAAGCATCTTCTCTCTGTATTTGTTTCCCTCAGTGCAAAGTGTGGAGCCGTACGTTCTTTAGGTAAAACAGAAAAAGCCCGGGAGAGGGGTTGTCATTGCGGCACAGCGCTTAGAGCAAAAGAGCGCTTGGAGATGATTTAGTTTATTACAGTAGGGTTGTTCACAGGGCTGGGGAAGGAATCTCCTATTTGGCTGGAATCTGCCAATGGTGGCATCGCCCAGAGAGGTCTGAGGACACTTGGGGATTAATCCTCTCTGCCATCTGGGCAGGGGACTTTCGGAGATGAGACGCCCGGTTGGCAGAGCAGCGAGAGAAAAATCTGCCCTGCTGCTGCTGGCGATCTGCGAGCTCCTGATTAAAGAAGGAGCAGCAGCCCCTGGGGTTATCGGCCGGCTCTCGGCTGGGGCCAGTCCTGACATCTTGAGGCATCCGTCTGCACTGCCCTGCTACTGCGCAGGGCTACAGGAATCCCATCCCCTTGGTTATTTATTAGGCCCTGGGACCTTGGCCACAGTTTCATAGAATCACAGAATACCAGGTTGGAAGGAACCTCAAGGATCACCTGGTCCAACCTTTCTCGGCAGCAGCACGGTCTAGACAAGATGGCCCAGCACCCTGTCCAGCTGAATCTTAAAAGTGCCCGATGTTGGGGAAAACCGCCGTTGTTTCCCGCAGTCCTCCTCCCTTCCTGCTGACTTTAACATAAAATTATTCATTTCTAGATAGCTTCCTAGACAACCTTATTTTCTGTTACAACAGTATAATATCATGTATGTATTTCACATGGTAAAATACCCGCCCAGTCTTACAGCAATGAAATAGTTTGTTCTGGGCAAAGTCCAGGTGTGCAGGAAAAGTTGGTAATTTAAAGTTGCTGGGAAGGAAGAAAAAACTCCCCTCTTGGTGACTCCTCCCTCATCCTGGAGAGCAGTTCCTTTTACCTGTCCTCAGTTTTACCTGTTACTGGGTATTCATTTGTTGTTACACACACACACACACATACAATAAAACTGATATAATAGCTTTTACTATGGAAAATTTTAGAGGTCAAGATATTAGAAACAACTTTCCCATTCCTCTCCGATTACACAAACCACTGGTGGGAAAATGCTCTACTTTAATCTGAAAGATTTTTGCAGGTGTTTGTGTCTTATTTGCACGAAGTCAGATTGATCCAATGGTACAGAGACTAAGCTTTTGCTAGAAGAAAAATGTAATTTTTTAGTAGTTCTAGCACTTGCTTGATTTTCTCTGGAAAGGAAATGGAATATGCATCTGTAACAACATTTTTCCAGCACCCCTCCTTGAAACTTAAATGGAAATTCCAGGAATTATCAAGTTTTTGAAACCTAGCCAAATTTAAACAAGCTATTTTGGGGCTCCTTTTTCAGTAACAAATACCAGACCACAGACGGTAGCAGAAGAATTGTGCTCTGCAAAGTCACACAGCAGCTGGCTTGGGCCCATGCTTTGTGAGCAGTGCTGGCACGGGTCGGTAGAGGGCTGTATCCTCTTGTCACTGTGATTTTTTTCCTTTTTTCC